CCTACTGGCCATTCTGGCATTGAGTTAAAGCTGACTAGGGGGGATGTTGCAGGGGCCAAGTCTTTGTCCTCTAACTTCAGCTGTTTGAAGGTTTCATAGTACATTATTTCGCATGAACTTCATTGGTCAATCAGGATTCGCTTGACGTCGAAGTTCTTGACGCGCAGAGTTACCACCAATGCGTCAGCTGTTTGAATGTTTCGTAGTACATGATTTCACATGAACTACCTTGGTCAATCAGAATCCGCTTGACATCAAAATCCTTGACTCGGAGAGTGACGACCAGGGCATCATTGTGAGGGCAATATATCCGTTCTAAGTCTTTATCCGAAAAAGACATGACGTTTGTTGCCTCTGTCTTCCCCTTCTTGGTGGCAGGTTGGGCACTTTGCACCTCTCTTAAGTGTTCAGCCTTTTTGATTGATCCTCTGAGCTCGCATACACGCTTTGGTTCAAAAACTCCATGTATTACATTGATAATGCCTTGAGGCGGGGCGTCGATTAGCATCCCATTGGGGTTATAATGGTCCTGGGGGCTGGCTGCGTCCCTCCTTCAATGTATCTATCCAGGTGTCCTGCTGCCACCAACTCCTCTAGGTGCTGTCTCAATGGCATGCAATTCTCAGTGCGGTGTCCCTTTTCTTTATGGAAGGTGCACCGTGATCTTTCGTCGTAGTCTTTCTGTGCTTCTCCCAGATTGGCTGGCCACTTAACGAAAGGCTCATCTTTTATTTTGCTCAGAATCCGATATATCGGTTTTTTGAACACCGTGGTTATGGCAGTGCGGATTCTCAACCATCTTTTGTCCGGTTCTTCTCCGTTATCTCGTCTGCCACGTCTGTTTCTGTTCGGTCGATCTACCGTATTAACCTTCGCTGAGGTTTTCTTTTCTGGTATTGTGGTCGCCCCAGATTTTGCTTTGGCACGTGCGCCATCCTCTTCTACCCTGATGTGCTGATGCACTCTTTCTATCAAGGTTTCCATAGTGAGGGGTGGTGTCATAGTGATTGAGTCCCTTAGTCTGTTCTCGGCAATGGCGAGATTGGTGGGGCAGTCCCCAATCTGATTGAATGTTTCCCAGTAGCGACTATTGTAAGATCTTAGTGTCTCTTTATCGCCCATGTCGATGGAGAGCAATTGGTCAATCTCCACCGGGGTTTTAGTGTTCGTTCGGAACCTTGTTACGAACGCCTCTGCCAATTGTGCCCAAGAAGCTATGCTGCCCTCTGGAAGTTTCTCGAACCAAGTCAAGCCTAGGTCTCCAAGGCTTGATGGGAAAAGTATGCACATTAAGGCCTCGTTTCGCTTGTATACAGCCATGACCTGGCGAAAGTGGCGAAAGTGTGAGTAGGGGTCCGTCTTCCCTTCATATGTAGTGAATTTGGGCTGAAGGAAGCCTGATGGTAGGGGCGTGTTTTCAATTGCTGGAACAAACGGCGAAGTCTGTAACCTTGCTAATGCTTTGTCCGTTGGTTCGTAGGCAGGGCGCGGTATTGGCATTCCAACCTCGACGCTTCCATGCGTCCGAGGAGCCAACCGCTGTAAGGCAGAAATTCTATGTGGGTCCCGTGCCCTGGCATCTTTCTTGCATCGTGCTTTTTCTTCGAGCACGGTTCGTAAGTCGGATGATCTGGGTAACTCCGTCGATCTAGATCTGGTTTGGTGCGTATGTGAGGGCCAATACGTGCTTCCTTCAGTGTATGATCTTTCAGATCTCGTCCTCTCAGACTTGGAGTAACGAGTTCTAGAAGACCTGGATTGAGTATCGCCTGTCCTGAGGCTTCTACTCTCTCCTTGCGAGGGTGTGGTATTCCTACTACGATTTTCTGAGTGGCGAGGGGGCGTCTTGTTTTTGCGCCCCTCTCCTGTCGCCACTTATTTTTTCTTCATCTGGCGCTTCAAGGCCTCCATGTCCGCCGCCATCTTCCTTATCAATTCATCTTGCTCCTTCACGCGGTCCTCCAGAATTTGAGGATCAATCCTCCGCCTTTGCCTGTCAGGACTTTGTGAACGAGAGTGACGGGGGCTGTGAGTCCGTCTCCCCCTTGTATCCTTCCTAGTGTTATGTCGTTGGGACTCCAAGTCCGCCATGGGAGGGATAGAAGGTAATCCCTCACGCCTTGCACCCCCATCTGGAGTTTGCCCGTCGATGGCGAACTGTGGCAATTCTTCAATGTGCGCCATTGTTTTTAAAGAGGAGAAGCTTTAGTCAAGAGGTTTTGTCCTGTCTGTTACTTCCCACAGACGGCGCCAATTGTACGGGAAAGAAATAAACCTTCTCGTATAATCCTGTTGATCAAGTCTGCGCTCCTCCGTGCGACGTTGTTTATTACTTGAAAACACAAACGTGAGCTAGCCGGCGGGTGTGTACCGGAAACCTCTCTGATGCCTAAGTCAGCAAGCTTGACAAATAGACAAAGCTCTGTGTATTCAGAAAACAAAGTTGTGTGTTACCTCTCCAAAGGTGATGTTTGTGAGCTTTTATAGGTTTCGTGTGGCACAATCCTAGTAGGACTTCTACTCCTCCATGCAGAGTCCTCCTAGGATTCATACTCCTGAGAGATAATGCTTATCCTTTAACACCCCCCTCACTGCTTAAACCAAGTGAGATGGTTTTTACCATGGCCGAACTCCAACATGACCGAAGTAATCATGGCTATGCTGAGCCGCAGAGTAGGCCGAACTATCCTTAGTTCGGTTCTTCCATTTACTCCTCCTTATCTCGGCGTTCTCATGTACAAACCATGGTGTGTTTAGACCGAGCTACCGAGTAGCAAGGTTCTGACCGTTTTAACCACAATACGTTATGACCGGACTAACTCTGAGACCGGCCTAACTCCAAGTCACTTCCGGACCGGAGTAACTTTACATTTCTCCCGGGCCGGAGTAATTTTTTACCTCTCCTGGGCCGGAGTAATTTTACGGCCTTTTTACCCAGCCCTTCGTACTATAGGCCATAATGACCATCTCCTAGTTCGGCCCAATTTTTACAAAAATTATCCTCTCAAATAATATAAGGCAATTGAAGCCTTTAGAACAGGGAAATCACTGTTCATTATATCTACATAGTTGTTACTTGATCAGCTTCCACCAATTGTACATGGAAATATCTGTCTGCCATTGTTGAGTGAGCGTTACGAAGAAGAGGGATATATATAATCTAATAATAAGAAGGGTAAATTATAAATATATCTTCTAAAATTGACTTAAAATATGGATTTCTTTTTATAATTTTAAAAATTATAAATATTTTATTGTCAAAATTATTTATTTAACAGAACTAACAGAAAAAATATAATTAATAACAACTCTCTTATGCAACGCTAAAATTATTAAAATTTTTAATTGCAATATATTTATGATATTATAAAATTCTGTCAATTGACTTAATGATTAATTAATAAAATGAATCATTTATTATGCGATTAAAAATTTGTAAGGATCAGACGTGATTTTTTAAATTACACAAAATAATTTATAATTTAAACAAATATCAGATCGTGTGATTGTAATTTGCATTAATAACAATATAGATGACTCGATGGTGCATGCTAATGCAATAATTAACTAATATAATACTTCAAGAGATTCATCATTTGATAATGTCTTTTGTGTTTGCTACTCACCAGCTAACCTGCACGCTACGCTTTGCACTCTTCTATTTAACAGCTTAGATTGATGTATAAATTGATTTTATATATCAAAAAGAAAAAGAAAAAGAAAAAATTAATGATGTTTGATACTTATTAATTCTATTAAGGGCAAATTACATATACACCCCTCCAGGTTTGACAAAATTACAGATACCCCCTGAGGTTTGAGAAATTACGAATTCCCCCCTGAATGCTATATTTGCATAAGAAATTAGGGGGTAATTTGTTATGAAATATAAACCTCAGGGGGTAAATTGTTATGAAAATACAAACCTCAGGGGGCGGGATGTAATTTCCGAAACCTCAGGGGGGTATCTGTAATTTAACCAAACCTCGAAGGGTGTATGTGTAATTTGCCCTACTTATTTAAATTGCGAATCGCATACCTTTTTTTCTCTAAAAAGATGCTTCATGGTACTAGTATAGAGTTGGCAAATTTTATCAAAAATTTATAATATGGTTGACCGGTGATCCATTGAGGGCAAGGTGGTAGTATATACACGTGTGGTAATTTGGATTCAAAAACTCTTCGTCCATAACTCCTTTTTCTTACAAAATTTGAATACACTAAGGATCCAAACTTAATTCTCTAACTTGAATCTTATGTGCACATAAAAATTATCTTGTCTTCCTTATGCGGGGCAAGTATATATCACCAATGTGTAGGATATCTACCAAAATTTCATTTCAAAACTTATTTTATATTCAATTTTCAATTCACTCATAAAATTGTTTTGTCAAACCAATTACATATAGTGTTATTTATCACACGGCATAGAACACATTATCACTTGGACCGGCTAAAAATAGTGAGTAAGACCCACTTGTAATTTAGCTCAAAATTGCTAAAATTATGATTTTCATAGAGACATAACAAACTTTAAAAAAATTGAGCATTTTTTAACTACAGAAATACTTATAAAAATAAATTACAACAATTTCAAATTTCTCCTTGGAACACTCGTTAATACAATACAATAATTTTAATGCTTTTGTCCTAAAGTTTCCTAGAGTGCTATATTGTGTGGTTGAGATTTACTGGCAAGTCACATCAGAAAAATTAATGTGACTTGCCAGTAAATCTCAACCATACACTGTAACACTTTAGGAAACTTTAGGGAAAAATCACTCTAGAGGATCCTTGCTCCAAAAAAAGGTACCAAACGCTGACGGTGTTGTCACTCTCAGTCCTAATCATCATCACATCCTCCACTTTTCATCTTTGGTTCTCACTCCACTCGTCCACAAACATGAAAACAGACAAAAACCATCAAAAACATTCTTATACCCAAGGTTGTGTTTCTCTCCCAAATTCTCTCTCTCTCTCTCTCTCTCTCTTCCATAAAAATGATGGATATGGTCATGCACATGAGCTTCTACTGGGGCAAAGATGTCATTGTTCTCTTCCAAGGTTGGCCTAATGACAGCCTTGGCATGTACATACTGGCTCTCCTTTTTGTCTTCCTGCTTGCTGCAGCCACCGAGGTGTTGTCGATCTCACCCACGGTCAAGCCAGGGAAAAGCCCGATGATCAGCGGACTCACTCAGGCCATCGTCCATGCTCTTCGCATGGGTCTGGCTTACATGGTCATGCTATCTGTCATGTCCTTCAACCTTGGAATCTTCATAGTCGCCGTGGTCGGCCACACCGTTGGATTCTTTTTCGTCAAGTGGCGGGCACTGGCTGAGGCCACAACAGACACCACTCCTAAATTTTGATATTCTTAAAACGTTATTATTTGTAAGTTTTTTATTGGCATGAATCCTAATTCCCCCAAAAAAATTCTATCTCCTGCCTCAATACACTTTTAGTGGTACAATTGTCTTTTAAGATTTTTGATATTTTGAAATTCTTACTACATCGTTGGTTAAGAGTGTATTTGGAGACGGAGGAACATGAATTTTGAAGAGAAAAGGATTTATGGCTGTTTCTATCACGCGTGTTTTTCCAAGATCCGTTTGGTGCTTTTGTTAGTCTCATTGTCATCATTTATCAGAACCATAAGAAGTTGTGTATAAGCACTCTCTCTCTCTCTCTCTCTCTCTCTCTCTCTCTCTCTCTCTCTCTCTCAATTATTGGGGCTGGGATTGTAGGAGGGGAGGGGGGGTTTGGTTTACAGTCAGCTATTCATATTCTTGCATATGCTTTCTCCCCAGTGAAACATAATTTTTCTTATTTTCTGGAATATGAATTAACCTCATAGAATGGAAGATCTTTGTAGCCTAACTGCTCTGAATAGTTTTCCACCCAGTAGACCACAGCACAGCTGGGTCAAGAAAATCATTCGAGGGGCGGCAGCTGGAACAGCTTCATCATGTTGCTCCTCCAGATCCCCATCCAAATCACCATCACCATCACCATCACCATCACCATCCTTCTCATGATTATATCCTAAAACCCGATCTTCTTCAGCAATTTCCCTGGCCTTCCTCTCTCTCAACTTCCTGCTTGTCAATAATATTTCATAAAGTTCTAAGTAGTTGTTTGGGAAAAGTAGTTTGAAATTTGAACTAATCACCTCTAAGCAGGAGTTAAAAAGTCCCCAAAGTTAGGAGCCTAAAAATGGCCCCGGGGTAGGCCCTACCCATTTGGGCCCAAGCTGAGCCTAGCGTAGGATTCTAGGCCAAAGGCTAGGCTATCATTTTAAAGTTCGGCCCAGCCCGGTTCGTGGGTTTAACCCATCGGCCCTCTTAAGGCTCACTTGAAGCCCGGCCTGCTTGAGACCTAGTTTTTTTTTTAGTAAAAAATAATAAAATCTTGGTAGAAAAAATAAAAAAATTTGTTCAGGCATGCCCAAGCTCGAGTCCAGGCCCAAGGCCTGAATACCCATTGGGCCTGGGCCTAGTTTTGGGCCTAATTTTCTGGCCAGTGGGTCGGCCCGAATTTTGGCAGAAGCCTGCGAGGCCCGACATGGGTCGGAAAAATTTACACCCCTACCCAAAGTAAATTTAGTAAGTGTTTGTGAGATCTAGAAAATTCTCTCACATGGATTGTTGAAATCCAACGAAGATATGAGATTCGCTCCATAGATCTGCAAAGATGAGCATAGTTGGCGCCACCTAACTGGGGTTACCAATCGAGGACATTCTGATAGTAAAGTTAGTCCCTGGAATCAGAGAAGGAAGATGTAGAAATGAAGGGTGTTGTGTGTGCTATCTTGCCAACATGAGGCATACCTCTATTCCTTGGGATGTCTCTTTTTTATAGATGAGAGTGTGATATTTACTTGATGGGCTTTCTTGTTTGGGTTTGGCCTATTATTAATAATCTAGTATTTTTTGGGCTACCATAATTGCTTCGAAACTTTCATTGTCTGCAGTAGAAGAAATAAGAGTTTTTATTGTCGAGCCACGCTGTTCAAATAGATGTTAGGTTTCTTGATAAAGAACACTTGGATAAATGAATAAAATGAATGAATGAATGACTGTATGTGCTTATGTATAAATGTATGTATGTATGTCTTGCTCTGAATTCGGAGGCTTTTGTTAATAGCGCTATGTGCCATGCACGAACTCTGCATTCGGAGGCTTTCTTGCTCTGCATTCGGAGACTTTTGTTGATGGCACTCCGTGCCAAGTACCAAGGGCGCTCCGTACTCAGAGGCTTTCTTGTTCTGCATTCAGAGACTTGCCTCAATTTCATACATTGTAAGGATATTGAATAGTGCATCATGTGTCATTGATTGCCTATACCAAATAAGTAGAAAGTTGAAAAACTGACGCCAATGGTAGAGTATTAAAAAATAGCATTCCACCATTAAAAAATAGCATTACGCCGTTGTAAGGAATTGCTGAGTGGATATTGGAAACAGATTTGAAGTAGATTGGTTAAGTTGTTGTTTTGTGTTTTTGTGCCAATGTATACTTACCCTATTGCGTTCGAATGGCAGTCATTAGATGGCAGGAATGTAGATTGAACATTGGCTAAAAGTGCCGAGGAGTAAGCCGAGAACAAATTATTGAAACGAATGCCTTATCCCTGTGCTTTCGAATGACATGTGTTATTCGGAAGGAATTCATAATGGATTGTGACGCCCCGATATTCATACCATATAATTTGTTACCAAACCATTATTATTGTCCAATTTTAACACTCATATGAACAATAAATAAATAATAACAATTCAATAAACTGAACCTGTCACATTGTTATGTATTCTTCTTCGAGTTCATTGTAATAATTTACAACACACTATAATATAAAATGTACATCAAAATTGCCATAAGGGCTTACACCTTTCAAGACTAAGGGCCTTGATTTCAACAAATAAAACCCTAACTCGATAAATAAGTTCGATAGTTGTAGACATACAACATCAAAGAAGCTTCAGTGCTCTATATTGAACTCCATCCATTTTTCAACAATAACAAGGTTCACTTTCATCACTTGGAATTTTTTAGGATATCCAGCCTATAAATAGGGAGTGAGCTTTTACGCCCAGTAGGAAGTAAACTTAACATAACCAAATTTGATTAACATGCATATGATCAATATGATTATGCTATGCAAAGTCTTGCTATGTTTACGACCTAACTCTGTTTGGAAAACCGAATTCTAAAATACATGATTTGTAACCGATGTTGACTCAACTTATTAACCATTATCATAACCAAGAACTTTCGTTTTGCAACAAACTCCACGTTAGATACCTCAAAATACTCTCCACATTTACTAGCCACCAAGCACAGTAGGACAAGTGGGCACTGCTTACTTTTTGAAAACCTCCACATTTACTGGCCACCAGGCACGGAGGAGCAATTGGACACCCGTTTCATTTTCAAAACATCTCTACATTTTTCGATCACCAAGCATGGAGGGGCAATTGAACACCCATCAATCATTTCAACATTTCCCCCACATTTACCGGCCACAGAGCACGGAAGGGCAATTGGGCACCTTTATAAAATTGCCAATGGCATCCCCACATTTTCTGACCACCGAGCACGGAAGGGCAATTGGGCACCTTTACACACATATAACGCATTCCGAAACCACACAAACTTCTTTAAATAATCCTGTATTTAAACTAACACCATGGAAATTCAATGCAATGCATGAGTTTTCCAAACCTTTCTCTTTATCCCGAAATTACTTTTAATTACATAATAACTCAACAAATAAAAACTAACAAACTATTCTCCTTTTCCAGTCTCCAAGTTTTACACTTTACCAACCATCATCCCATGCAAACATTACCGTACATCATTCCAACATTTTAAACGTTCACACAATTCAACTTATTTAATTCACCAGTAATATCTTCATAGACAATAAATTTATCTAATACACTTATTAACATGAAAAACCACTTTAATTTTCAACATAATATACCGATTAACTGAAACCCTCTTTTAATTTAAAAATCTCAATTCTAGGATTTTCAATAAAATTGAGGGTTTTCCTCATTTTTTTTTGTTAAATCCTCAAATTATCAAATATTAACCATCAAAGTACCAAAACCTTCTAAATATTTCAAAAGGTTTGAGTTAGAATCCCAATTTTTTGAATATAAACATCTTTTTAATCAAAGATTTCAAACTCAAGTCAACCCAAACTTCCATAATACAACCTAATCGAACTAAATCTTAAAAGATTAGAGTTAAGAGAGCTCCCTACCTCAACAATGAGAGCTAACAAGGAAGACCCAAGCAAAAATTTTGGCGAAATCGCAATCTAATCAATCAAGAGAAAGATCTTCACTCATTTTTCACTAATCTTGCATGATCTAAGGTGGATCCTTGGTGTAATGAGGTGAAATCAAAGGTTTGAGGGCTAGTGTTTTCGGTCATGGAGAAATGAGAGAGAGGAAAGAGAGAAAAGTGAGAAAATGAGCAAAAAATGGGTTTTATATTAGCTAATCCTGAACAGACCACTCGAGTCTAAGAAGTGTTGTTTGAGTGACCAGACACAATGAGTGGCACCGCTCGAGTGAACAATACCAACTCTCAGAAGTTTTACAAATAGAGGATCATCGCTCGAGCGCAAGAAGGACCGCTTGAGCACAAGAAATACCGCTCGAGCGAAGAATGCCATCTCCTAGTATCTCTGTAGACCTACTATAGACACCCCATTTTTGACCGATCCTAAGACTTGGGCACTTTCTGTTGATTACCCGATGATGACAATCAGAATGTGTTCCCTAGCAATCCTCAACAAGAAAAATGGAATTTGAGTTTTAATCCCAACCTTCACACATTTTTGGCCAAACTATTTTAGTCCTTAAAATTCTCTTTTCAAAATATTTTTTCAAATGCTTCTACGATATTCCGAGGCTTTTATTTCAATTAAAATATTACACTTTTCAATAAACCGAGTAAGGACAAAATGGAAATAAATAGAAGGGAGGTGAACTCTTTGAAAAAATATTTAAAAACATCTTTCTTATAGGTTTGGATAGGTTTGGATTTAAAAGAAACAGAAGGGGATGGAAGAAAACTGGTTTAGAAAAAGAATGAGCATCAAATCATTAAGAAGGAAATGAACATCCTTTATTAGATTAGGCATATCTCTTTGTACACTTAGAATTTAGATGTGAAACTATCATCATTGGAAATTAAACTTCTGGGGCTTCAATTTAGACCAAAGAAACACCTAAAACCAAGCCCGAATAAGGAAGATATACCCATTGGACATTGGGCTTAAGAGCAGATTTTGTTGACCTGGCCCGAGGAAAATGAATAGCCTTCACTAAATTAGGCATATCTCTTTGTACACTTAG